AAAAAAAAAAAAGGTGCTGTTCCCCAATAGTATCTCACTTGAATAAAGAAGAAAAAATAAGAAGACGAGGACAAGAAATGTGGTCAAACCCTAAAGAAATCCAAGTCTATAAAACAACAGTCTGTAATTCAAAACCAAACAAGTCAGTCAAAAAACAAACTCTTCCTTTCACTCTTTCAAGTTTCAAGCAAAGTTCCAAATGGGAGATACTTACTCTTCACCGGCTCCTTCGTTACATTTATGTTTCTTCCTTGTTGTTCTCTTTATGTTTGTAAGTATTACATGGTACACAAACTACGAGTCTATCTTTGAAGGCATTATGGATCAATTCAAGCTTGTTCTAATGGTGTCTCCATTGCTACTGCTTCTAATTGTGCACTTATTTTCGAGCTTGGAAAAATCTGTCTCCTTCATTCCCTTGCCTGAAAAAGACTCATTTCATAGAGCTGGTGGTACTCCTTGGGGAGTTGGCATTCTCCTTGTGCTTCTTCTTTTCATGATTTCTTACCACTCTGGTTTTCGAGAACGATGGTTTCCTTGATGATATTGAATTGAGCATTTGAGCAGAATGTTCTGGGAAATCATCAAATATGCACCATCTATGGTTACAGTAGTGTAGTTCACAACTTTGTATATTCTTCGACTGGAAATGTTAAGTGGTGTTAACCTGTATATACGCTACCAGTGTAATTTATCCGGGTTGTTTTTTATGATAAAAAGTTTCATTTATTATGATCGATTAATTAATCCATTTATTAGTGTTATAATGATATCTCTTTTATCCTTAGTTGCTATTACCACATATTTTGTATTGTTATTACTTGCCATCAATACTCCCTTAGTTTGCTATTACTACATATCGTGTACTATTGTTACTTGCTATCAGTGCTTCTTTCATATTCTCTTTTGTTATCTTGTATTTAGTTTTCTAAATATCTTGTATTGTTATTACTTGCTATTAGTACTTCTTCCATCTTTTTTTTAGCCGAGGGTCTATCGGAAACTGTCTCTTAGTTAGGACTATAATGTGGGCCGGGCCCGTTCCTAAATGGGCTTCGTGGGCCGGTCCTAAGTGGTCCCGGATTTCGTGGACTTTTTGTAAGAACCATCCCGGGACCACGAACTGATGGTCCAGGGCTAAGTGGGCCGGTCCCGGGCCTATGTGGGCCCAACGGTTACTTTCTATTTATTTTCTTTTAACTTTTTTATCTAAGGCAATTCCTTGTAAAATTATATTATAAGAATTGTGGCCTAAAATTTTTTATTCAAATTTAAACACAAAAATATTGTAGAAGGTTGTCTAGAAAAAGTAGGGGTAGTAACAGGAAGGTCATACGGGACATCATTTGGATTATTATTAGTTGGGTTAACTTCAGCAATAGGGCAGCATTTGGATTATTTTATTTCAAACTTATAAATTAAAGTTTACATTTAACAACAATTAAATTAACGAAAAAAGAGTAAAACAAAATTTTCATTGCATAATAATACTTCAAATTAATCTAACAAACTAAAACATTAAGCATAAATACGTCTAATAATTTTAAAATAACACAAATTGTCTCAAATCAACTTAAATACGAATTTCTGGAGGACGCTCAAGACAACTCTTCATATGCCTCCTTAAACAGCCTGTGTCCACCCACTTCAGACGAATATTTAAGACTAGACCACAGTTCTTGCACTTTACTTTGTGAACTTCATTTTCTTCTATCACCTCAAAGTTTTCCCAAACATATTAGCGCACTCTAGAAGTACAGGGCATGATCTAACTTGAACTGAGAATTTGAGTTTGAGATATGAGAGATGAGTGAAGAAATGAAGAAGAGGGGGTGTATTTATAGTTTTTCAAGGGGCTAAATTAGTAATTACTAAAAGTGTTATTTTTAAAAATACATTGCCCAAAAAAGACTATTCTTGCAATCACTCTTGGATTTTCCCTTATTTTTACTAAATTGGAACAATAAAGTAACCAGTTATGGAAGAAAATTAGAGAGAGATTGATGATTTTGTGAGAAAAATGAAAGAGTGAGGGGGTATTTATAGTTGAAAATAGGAAAAAGTGCAATTATAAAAAGTTTG